TCCCCCCCACAAGCGCAGACTAAGAGAAACGAGCTAGCATGATGAGAGAACACAAATCATGACGAATCTACCTCCAGCAAAATGTGCAACGGCATCGTGTGTTTTATTCAGTATGTGGGTCAGTTTTCACCCCCAACACACCCTACACACACAGTGAATGAATGCAATATTATTTTATTTGTTTTGTTTTTTCATTAATGTGAAACTCCTGGACTCAAACTATCTAACAAGGGTTTAAATCGAGCTCCATCATCAGAACCAGAACCAGGTGACTGGACAAGCCCTTAAAGAGTTAAGAGTTAAAGGTTCAAAACCTTCACTCTTACAAAGATGGTTCTTAAAGGGTTCTTTAACAAAGAAAAATGGTTCTATATAGAACCACAAACACTCAAAGAACCCTTGCATGCTTAAAGGGTTCTTTGAATGGTGAATGGTTCTCATACTGATGGAGAATGTGTTTTTTGAAAATGGTTCCATATAGCAGCAAAAGGGTTCTTCTTTTGTAATGATGTCACGAAGAACCCTTTTGGGTGCTGTGTGGAACCCTTTTCAAAAGGTTCTATATAAAACCATCTATAGCACATTAATTCTCATTCTCCATCAGTCTGATGCAAAGAACCCTTTAATCCTGAAAAGGGTTTTTTGAGTGCTCACGGTTCTACATAGAACCATTTCTTTACTAGAGAACCTTTGAAGAACCTTTTTAAGAGTGTACCGTTCACTCTGCAGTCCATACGGTCCATACATGGAAACTGAGCAGCAGAAAATCAGCCTGTTTGAATTTTTGCTTTTGTGATGTCACAAAAACCAACACAGTTACATGCTGTATATATCCACCTATGCAGCCTACAGTTTAGCCCCACCCACTCACACTGGGTGTTTCAGCCCAGACTGCTGTCTGAATGAGTCACAGCCAATCAGAACAGAGCTCATTCACACAGATCAGTCTTAAAGGCACAGAACTGAAAACAGCCATAATTCTAAGAGATGAGAAAGAGACTGTTTTCAGTACATAAAACCACAGGACCATCGGAAACGGACCACAGGAAATGAAGGATACGGGCCCTTTAAAGACGCTTTTACCGTGACACATCACAAACATACATGATCTGTGTTTTATGAGAGTTAAATATGTTAGTCTGTTGTTTATATGTACATATGTACATTCATAGTCATCATGTTTCATTATGCTGTTGTGCTTTGGGCCCTAAACTGCTCCACACGTCAGTGTCTTACTAGCTGGCTGACCGGTCCAGTACAAACTGTCAGACATGAAAAGCTTGTATTAAAGGGGAATTCTACCCATTTTTAACAAAAGTTCTGCACAGTTCAGTGTGTGAGGTGTAATCAGAGAGATTCAGAGTGGTTTGGTGTGAAATTGTTCAGATGTCTTTACAGTGGTGGTGATAGGAACCAGGGGTCGCCATGACTACAACACAGATATAGACATTTTATTTACTATCCAGAACCACCAGTGAACCTACACGAGTCTTCTGAGCTTATATGGAATGACTGTTTACTTCTTAACCGTTTAATCATGCAGAAATTTCAGAAAGTTGGTGGAGTTCCCCTTTACTCACTCTCATCCTTGCATAGTGCACTTTTAAGTAGCTCCCTGACAAAAAAAAAACCCATTTATTTAATTACACAAGTGAAGACCCCGTGTAGAGCAGGTCATTATCAGTAGTGGTAGTGTGACTGAGGTATGCTGCACTGTCTGCTGGCGCTGTATTTCACATGTCCTCAATAAAGTATTTTTGACCTGACGTGTTTTGCCGTTTTGAATCTGACCGAATTCATTCTGCATCACTGAATTGATCTAAAATAAAAATGTTAAAAATACACACATTTAAAAAAAACAGAATCAAGTGAACCTCTGCACGACACGTTGCGCTTTTCCGACGTGGACGGGAGTTGTAGTCTTTTCAGGGCACCTGGAAAACGACGAGAGCCCGTAAAAGAACTACACTTCCCATGATGCGCGGCGGTTCCTGCGGAGCGCGCATGTCAACGGACGGAGTGCGCGGTCCCGGCGGCTTGTGGTGAGTTAGCGGTGGGTTTTTGTGTTCTGGGTGACACGAGTTCGGAATTAAACTCGAACTTTCTCTCGGAAACCGGCTCAGCAGGTCCAGAGCTGACCGCGGGGACAGACGCGCGGCGGTCCCAGCTCGCAGTTCGCCCGCACTCACTGGTTTAGCGGGCTAGCAGGTTCGGCAGCGTCTAATTCGAATCTCCCCGGTCCACCTTAAACGGGGCAGCAGTTCCATTCTGCGCTTTGGGCTTCGGGCGCCGGAATGGAGCTGCTGCTCCATTTAAGGTGGAGCGGGGAGGTTCGAATAAGACGCTGCCGAAAAGGAAACTTCAGCCTCGTAGAGACGAAGAACCAGAGCTCCTCCTTAGCAGCCTGGAGTTAAACTACCGCTGCTGGACCCCCTCACTTCCAGTTATTTAGATTATAGATCACCTGTTATTCAGATTATAGATCAGATGTTATTCAGATTATAGATCACCTGTTATTCAGATTATAGATCACCTGTTATTTAGATTATAGATCACCTGTTATTCAGATTATAGATCAGATGTTATTTAGATTATAGATCACCTGTTATTTAGATTATAGATCACCAGTTATTCAGATTATAGATCACCTGTTATTCAGATTATAGATCAGATGTTATTCAGATTATAGATCACCTGTTATTCAGATTATAGATCACCTGTTATTTAGATTATAGATTATTTGTTATTCAGATTATAGATCACCTGTTATTTAGATTATAGATCACCTGTTATTTAGATTATAGATCACCTGTTATTTAGATTATAGATTATCTGTTATTCAGATTATAGATCACCTTTATATGTCCATAAAGTCCTGAATGCTTCTGAACCGGTTCGGCTGTGTAGTTTCATCTCTATATACCAGCCTTCATATTAAGTCCACCTCCTTATTTCTGCACTCACTGTCCACTTTATCAGCTCCACTGACCACATAGTTCCACTCTGTAGCTCTGCAGTTACAGACTGTAGTCCATCTGTTTCTCTGCATACTTTGTTACCCTGTTCTTCAGTGGTCAGGACCCCCAGAGAGGGTGGTGGGTCATTCTCAGCACTGCAGTAACACTGACGTGGTGGTGCTGTGTTAGTGTGTGTTGTGCTGGTCTGAGTGGATCAGACACAGGAGTTTTAAACACCTCAGTGTTGCTGCTGGACTGAGAACCAAAAATGTCCGGACAGCAGCGTCCCAGCCCGACTACTGCCGTGAAGTGTTTCTGCTTGTTGTGACTTTCTTGTGTTTTCTCCGTTACTAGGCGATCTCCATGGAGCCGGCTTGGCGACAGCAGGGGAGAGGGCGCGGCCGGGGTCAGACGAGGGGTCAGACTCCTGGTGACTTGTTGCCAGGGCGACCCCAGAGAGAAGAAGATGGGGTGAGGGTGGGACGAGGACGGGGCGGTTCTGCTGTGACCACACTGCCCAAAACAGAACCTCCACCCAGTAAAGGTACAGGGACCAATAAAGATTCATACTGGATTAAAATCACTCCACAATTATTACAGTCAGACTGTAAAACTACACACACTGCAGATTCATACTGGATTAAAATCACTCCACAATTATTACTGTCAGACTGTAAAACTACACACTGCAGATTCATACTGGATTAAAATCGCTCTGCAATTATTACTGTCAGACTGTAAAACTACACACACTGCAGATTCACACTGGATTAAAATCGCTCCACAATTATTACTGTAAAACTACACACACTGCAGATTCATACTGGATTAAAATCACTCCACAATTATTACTGTCAGACTGTAAAACTACACACTGCAGATTCATACTGGATTAAAATCGCTCTGCAATTATTACTGTCAGACTGTAAAACTACACACACTGCAGATTCATACTGGATTAAAATCGCTCCACAATTATTACTGTAAAACTACACACACTGCAGATTCATACTGGATTAAAATCGCTCTGCAATTATTACTGTCAGACTGGAAAACTACACACACTGCAGATTCATACTGGATTAAAATCGCTCCACAATTATTACTGTCAGACTGTAAAACTACACACACTGCAGATTCATACTGGATTAAAATCACTCCACAATTATTACTGTCAGACTGGAAAACTACACACACTGCAGATTCATACTGGATTAAAATCACTCCACAATTATTACTGTCAGACTGGAAAACTACACACACTGCAGATTCATACTGGATTAAAATCACTCCACAATTATTACTGTCAGACTGGAAAACTACACACACTGCAGATTCATACTGGATTAAAATCACTCCACAATTATTACTGTCAGACTGGAAAACTACACACACTGCAGATTCATACTGGATTAAAATCACTCCACAATATTACTGTCAGACTGTAAAACTACACACACTGCAGATTCATACTGGATTAAAATCACTCCAAAATATTACTGTCAGACTGTAAAAACTACACACACTGCAGATTCATACTGGATTAAAATCACTCCACAATTATTACTGTCAGACTGTAAAACTACACACACTGCAGATTCATACTGGATTAAAATCACTCCACAATTATTACTGTCAGACTGTAAAACTACACACACTGCAGATTCATACTGGATTAAAATCACTCCACAATTATTACTGTCAGACTGTAAAACTACACACACTGCAGATTCATACTGGATTAAAATCACTCCAAAATTATTACTGTCAGACTGTAAAACTACACACACTGCAGATTTATACTGGATTAAAATCGCTCCACAATTATTACTGTAAAACCACACACACTGCAGATTCATACTGGATTAAAATCACTCCACAATTATTACTGTAAAAACTACACACACTGCAGATTCATACTGGATTAAAATCACTCCACAATTATTACTGTAAAACTACACACACTGCAGATTCATACTGGATTAAAATCACTCCACAATTATTACTGTCAGACTGTAAAACTACACACTGCAGATTCATACTGGATTAAAATCACTCCACAATTATTACTGTAAAACTACACACACTGCAGATTCATACTGGATTAAAATCACTCCACAATTATTACTGTAAAACTACACACACTGCAGATTCATACTGGATTAAAATCACTCCACAATTATTACTGTCAGACTGTAAAACTACACACTGCAGATTCATACTGGATTAAAATCGCTCCACAATTATTACTGTAAAACTACACACACTGCAGATTCATACTGGATTAAGTGCTGTTGTTATCTTTCTGTCCAGTCGTGTCCTCTCAGTCCAGATTTGACGAGATCAGGAAGTCCAACCAGGCTGCAGCTCAGCGACTGGTGGAGAAACAGTATGCCTCCTCGTCTGAGGAGGAGGATGATGATGATGATGATGACGATGATGTTGAAGATGGAAGGCTTGGTAAACGAGGGACGATCCTGCAGTCGACGCTCACTGCGTACACCAACCAGATGGGTCAGACATTACACTAAATTCCTACAAATAAAGCAAGTTTATTACAATGAAATCAGATCTGTGCAGTGAAACATGAGCACACATCAACTCCAGACACTCTGTCAATGCTGATGATGCCCGTTTTGCTGCTCTCTTTCTCGGCCTGATATCCGCAGGCTTGAACGTCAAATAGCTGCAGCTTCAGTGCACTAGGTGGCGCTGTGTGACTTTCTAAAGCAACACATGGCTGTTTTTGGTGCTGAGGCGTACTTGTTAATATGGCTGAGAGATTAACTGAGTTTTATTATCAGTTATGATTTTGGCTTCCAGTGATTATGAAAGTAAGATAATGGAGATAACGATGATTCTACTGCGCTCCATTTCACAGTGATGCTCTCGTTTGGTCTTGTATAAATCCAGTGCTGTTCAGTTCCAGCAGTGCGCTCTCACCCCTCCCTCATAGCCCAGCTCATCTCCTTTATTCTGGTCTAATCTATTTTTGTTTATTATTTTTATGTATGTTAATTAGTGTTCAGTAGGTTGTGGAAGTGCGTTTTTATTTTGATCTTATTTAATGTATTTTTTTCATATTATTTCACTTCATCAATTAAATGCATCTGTAGTTATAAATCAAATTTTATTTAATTTATTTTTAGAAAAGTTTTTTTTAAAGTTCAGAAAATACTGATGGGTAATCGTGTTAATCATGATCTTAAACACAGCATATAGTTAAGCGAGTCCTGACTGTCGATAGTCCGTGAATCCATGAGGTGTTCTAGGTGATGATGGTCTCAGATATAGGATGTCCAGTGAGGTATGGAGCTGTATGGACAGGTAGTGAGGGGGTAGCCAGCCATGTGTTCCGGGGCCTTTCTGTAATGGGGAATTTAGAGTTATCATTCAGTTCAGAAGTTCAGTAAATACAGTCTATATATGATACACGTTTCTGTTATTGTGGCCACAGGATATTGACTGGGTGGTCTGAGAGCCCAGTGCAGATTTCTGTATGTGTGTGGACGAGTGGATTAAAAGGAAGAAGAGAAGGAGAAAATCACACAGTGGAAAGTCTCATCAGTAAAGCAGCAGAAGTTAGTTTACTGTGGCTGTTTTGTAGAAACAGGGGCTGCTAAGAAGACTAAAGCCTGTTTGTATGATACGATCATTGTGTTCATGATGACTGTGTTATAAAGTGCAGCTTTAGGTCGTTTATGCTTGTATTTGTATATAGTTGTATTTAATGTTGCAGCAGCTTCTCAGCTGTTAGTGAGGGTCTCGGTTCTCTGACAGGTTCTCAGCTCCAGTCCTGAGTGGAATCCTGTATGATCAGCTCCGTTATGTGACGCTCATTTGTTTTTATTGATTATTTTGTTGTAAATATTGCACAGATATTCACCTAAAAACATGACAGTCAGAAGTATCTTCGGCTGTTTTCACTCAGCAGGTAAAAGAGGCCCAGATCTGATCTTTTTCTTCATGTGTGACTCAGATGTGTGTCAGTGTGATCAGATAAACACACTGAATCTGACACTTTCAATTCTGATTTGAGACGCTTTCATATGTGGTACTGAAATCTGATACGTATCCGATCTGCAGCAATGTGACTCAGTCTGAACAGCCAGATCGGGATTCATTGCAACTTTTACATCAGTCCAACTCCACATTCGTCATCATTTAGTGCTGCTGAGACTCAGAAACATTCAGGCTGATATTTCTGCACAAGAAGAGACTCATCACAGCCGCTCAGTGTTTGAAGATGTTTCTAAAGAAATGTCCGAACGCGGCCGCAGGAGAACGCGGCCGCAGGAGAACGAGGCTGCAGCGTCAAAGAACAGGTAAAAGTCTGAAAGCAGAGTTTAAAGAATCCGAGGAGAACCAAAGAAGTGACCACGCCCTTTTTACGGCTCGAACACATTCTGGGTGACGAGCCCAGCGGTCAGTCAGTGAAGCTTCATGATGGCTCCTGTGATGCTGGTGAAGATGAAGCTGATCCTCTGGGAGCGACTGGCGTTCGGTGGTGGTCGTGATTGTTGACCTCTGGATGAGCCGTGAAGCAGCGTGACGCTCTGATCTTTTGACCATGAGGGTCAGTTTAGGAGCTGATCTGTTCAGACTGATGATACAGATCACATTTAAAAGACAATCTGAACAGACAAACAAAAAAGATCAGATTTGGTGAGAGAATCAGATTTGGGCCTCTTTTACCTGCTGTCTGAACGCAGCCTTTAACACTCAAACCACACTTTTAAAGATCATTTCTTTAAAATCTAATATTGTGATGTTCTGAACGTGATAAGCAGGTGATTATCATGATCAAACTGTCATGTAAACGACAGACGCTTGCTTATATGTCTGTTTCTGACTCCAGTCCTCTTTTTATCATTTCTTTCGTTTGCTTTCTCGAGGGGAGGTTCTCTGTGCTCGGTAAAGTGTGAGTTCTGCTGTAAACCTGGCCGCCGTCGCTCTGTGAGAGATGAGCGAGCTGTTTTCTCTCTCCCTGCCTGCAGAGGTCAGCGTGGGTTCACACAGCAGGTCGTTCATGGTGTATTTAAACGCACTCCTCCGCTGAGGGGGTGAATAAATAAACACGCACACAGAAGCCTTTGTGCGAGCACAGAGTCACACGCTGTGTGTTTGGCTGATGTACGTCAGCGGTGGTGCTAAACGTTCTGCAGGATTCCAGCGTGAGGCCCCTCAGGTGAGGAGCTGAGGAGCAGCAGCGAGGAGAGAAGTGAAGTTGACCTGACCCGTCATGACCACAGCATTTCAGAGGATTAGTCGTCATATAAATCGTTATGGTTATTAATTTAGTTGTCTTTTCTTAGTGTTTTTACACAGTTATTGACGTCCAAGCGTGAAGTGGACAGACTGGCTGATTATCTGTCAGCTGCAGCTCCCAGCAGTGAAAATACATGCAGAGCGCTCTGGAATCCAGGCTAACAATTAATCAAACTTTACCAGGTCCTGTAATGTGTTATGGCACCAAGTCAGGACTTCTGTTGTTTTCGCTCTGGTGTAGATCTGTCACTCCACAATAAACACAGTTCACTGCTGTGGGAACAAAACCTCGTATCTCCAAAGTGGTCACTTTACAGGAGAAGGAAAAAACACACTCTACTTTCAGTGTAAGTCAGTGGAACCGGACGTTTTTCAGAGTCATTTTGGGTCGTTTCTTTTGGTCCATTCATCATGAAATCTACACACAATGTAAAGGACAGTGGGGTTTTTTCAAGTTATGTCAAAAACTGAAAAAGGACGAAAATGGAGACTGAGGTTTTGTTCCGACGGCAGTGGTTTACTTCTTTAAATTTACATTTATTCACTTCAGCCCAGCTGAAGAAAATGCACTCGGTAAACATTCTGCTGGTCGCAATGTAGAAAACAACAGTGGAAAATAATGGCGGTCTGCTTACATTATCGCAGTCAGCCCAAATAATTGTAATCAGGTGACTACAGTGCTAAAAAACGTCTAATCTTATCAGGTAATACAAAGAAAGGATTGACTCAAAATGTGAAACAGACGTTCTAGAGTGTGAAACGTACCATTCTGTAGCACAACATTGTGCAGCTCAACCTCTCTGGTTTAATACAAGTCTTTTATATCGCTTTCGTGTTTCTGCTCATCAGTGTACTCTCACTGCAATACCAGCCGTTGGGAATCCCTGTGGTGTCACCCAATCCTGACTGCTTGCCCAGCCCAGCTAATGAAAGACATCAGATTATTCCGTATTTAATGTGTCCACTCTTTCCCTTTATTCCAGCTTCCATTCCTTTCAGGAGACTCACTTTCAGTTCCTCAAAGAATCTGCAGACAAACCTCCACAGTTCAGTCTTAGAAGCTGGTTGATGATTTTCTGAAGTGATCAAACACATTCAGTGGTGTTGAGGTCTGGAGTTTTGAAAGCAGGTCCATGTAGTGAGTTGATAAGCTAAATCGGTCCTTATGGGGTTTTTGTGTGTGTGCTTGTGTTTAGGAGGCGACGTGTCGGACTTGGAGCGAACCCGTCAGTACCTGAACGAGGCGTTCCAGTCCGGAGCCATAACCTGCCTCATCTGCATCGCATCTGTGAAGAGAACACAAGCGGTGAGACCCTCACAGTCACACGCACAAACAGGGGGCTGCCAGTTTATTAGGTCCACTTGCTTTGTAGCTGCAGTAACTGGACATTTTATCAGAAACACTACAGATACAGGTTTACAGTTACAGACTGTAGCCCATCTGTCGTTACACACAAGTTTGAACCCAGTTCTGCCTCATTCACCATTTGAAAGAGACCACTATAGGACCACCACTGATCAGATGTTATTTGGGTGGTGACCACTCTCAGCCCAGCACAGATACTGACTCAGGAGGGTGTGCGGCCCAGCAGTGCTGGTGGGGTTTTTTTTAAATGCACTGATATTGCGTAAACATTAGTTTGGGACGGTATGTAAAATGCAGGTAAAAACAGAAAGCAGTGTTTGTAAAACCACTTTGATAAGTGTTTAAACAAAAACAGTACCAGGACAAGATAATCAGTGTTTTATTTTCCCAACTTTATTTTTTTTATTTT